GTAATTCTCTTGGGTCTTCATTTCTTTACCAGCTTAAAACTGTTGAAGAATCTGTCCAATAAACGATGTTGTGCACAGGTATGGAAAGATGTTGACAAAGGTTTTTAGCAAACCTTGAACCCATTACTGCACCATTAAATTCCAGTCGAGGAATAGTTTGTGGTTTTAATGGTGCTACATGTGTTTTCGCTCCAATCAAAGTACACTCTATGACATCTTTTTTCATTATTTTTAGATATGCCACACAAGCACTTGCGTGTTCGCTGGGGTCTACAAATATGTGCATTTGCGTATTGGTATCCTTCCAGTTTTCGAGTTTATTAAAAAAGTACCTTGGAATTGAAACCTTCTCTATTTCTGGAAGCTGTTTTAACTAAACAAGCCATTTTTGAAACTGTTCATTGATTATTGGTTGATCCCAAGAAATGTTACTCCTCCATATTTCCTGTAAATGCATCTTCACATAAATCAAAAAGTTTGCTAACAAACCTAAAGGGTCATATATAGACATTAAGATTTGTAAAATTTCTCGCTTTGTTGGCTGTCTTAATCCACTTAAAACATCTTTGTTTCCTTTATTACATTTTAAATTGAAAATAAAATTATCTCCCTTTAAATCCCACCACATTCTTAGAACCTTCTCATGCTCTTATTGTTCCCTAGATCTAGGTTGACTTCCTCGTGATTTCCGTGAGTGGTGTTCATGATTTTCATTAATTTTTCAGAGTTTGATCTCCAGTTTCTTATTTCAAAATTTCCGCTGGCGTGAATTAAGGCAATTTCTTTTGCTAATTGGATAGCTTTATCCTCAGTGTCTATTGATTCTAAGAGATCATTGACATAATGATTATTTACTATGGAATCAACAGCTCTAGGATATTCTACACTAAATTTCTTCGCATTAGCGTTTTTAACAAATTGTGCATAACTGGGTGAGCAGGTAGCTCCGAAGGACATCACAGTCATAACGTAAACTTCCAAAGGATTATCAGAGCTACCATTGCGCCACAAGAATCGTTGTGCATGTTGATCTTCTTCTATTATACCTACACGAAGAAACATTTCCTTGATGTCTCCAGAAAAGCCAATCTTTGTTTCACGAAATAGTAGGAGGACGCCTAATAGAGAAGCAAGTTGGTTATCTCCTTTTAATAACATAGAATTTAAGGATATTCCCTGTACGGTTGCTGCTGCATCCCAAAGTAATCTGAATTTGTCAGGTTTGTTAGGATTAAAGGCCGGAAATATGAGAAGATACCATGTTTTTTCTTGATGCTGTAAGAGTTCTTGTTCTGACAGTTTTCTAATATACTCCTTTTCTAGAAAATCTTGAATTTATTGATTAATGTTGATACCTAGTTTTGGATTTTTCTTAATTTTTCTCTCTATACACTCCAGTCTTTGAATAGCCATGTGTTTAATTAGGGAGTTTCAAGTTGTCATATTTCCAGAGTAATCCAATTTTATATTGGTTACCAATTTGTACTAGGGTGCTTTCTTGTATACGAATAGCCCTATCTAATTCTTTGGAAACAGACGGTTTAAGATTTTGAACTCAGAGGCTTTCAACTGAAAAGAAATCTTTTACAGTATTAAAGAGTTCTTGGTTAGTAATGCTTTCAGAACTACATTCGCAAATGTGGTAAGTGTAGATTAATTCTACATCATTATTTGAAAACATTGCAAAAATAGTCCAACCTAACCTGGACTTTGCAGCTATCGGTTGAAGTTCTAGACCTTCTTTCACTCGAAGTGGTAACGCTAAGTCCCAGTTATTTAAGCCTATCAAGATCTGAGGAACAGGGTTCTTATATGATTTGAAAGGCAAATTTTTAAAATGGGAAAGCTTTTTTTAATCGCCTTTGCATCTAGAGTTTGTTTTGGAAGACCTAATTTTCTTACTGTTCTGGCTGGTCGGTGGTCAAATTCTTTGTCCCCATTATAATCACCAGAAATAGAAAACAATACTTTTTCTGACGCATCTTCTAAGCGTTGTTGGTTTCCAGTCTATTTTAAGCAAAGTTGTTCTGGCTCTCCCATTATATTTAGCTTTTTAGCAATACTTTCTTCTAACAAAGTAACGGAAGACCCTTCATCTAGAAAGGTAAATGTAGTGACCTCCCTACTTCCATTTCTTAAAACAACGGGAAGTATTCGAAAGCGTGTTCCTTGATGTGCCTTACTTTCTTCATCTGCAGATAAGAGGTGTGATTCTACTGTTTGCATACCGTTTTCCTTTTTGATAAGCTTTGTACTTTTATTAAATACTTGTTCTGAAAATTCATGAAGAAGAGGATGATGCTTCCTTTGGCATTCTTCTTTGTTGCATTTTACAGGATACTTACAGGGAAATCTGTGTTTCTTTAAGCAAAGTCTACATAAATTTAAGGCTTTAACAGACTCCCATCTTTGAGATAATAAATATCTCTGAAATTCTGAACAACCTGCAATCTTTTTACAATCTCTCTGATTACACAGTTTACAATTATGTGTTTCACCGAAGGCATTTGGTTCATGTATACTAGCATGCGCATTATTATTAAATTGCCTTTTGTTATTACTTCGGTCATTAAGTGCTAGTGTAGGAAGAGCAGAACAAACATTTGTTGCTAGATTATACAACCAATCAGCAAGTTCACTTAATCTCTGAAATTTATGAAAAGCACAGCGATATATGCTCAGGTCTTCCAAAAAGGATGTTTAATGTAGCTATAATTTGGAGCACACATTGAGGTAAAATTAAAAAACTTGAAACACTGACTCTTGCTGGACCTTTTAAACATTTTTGTAATCTTAATAAATTCTCATGATTATCTACTTGACATAGCTCAGTAGATCTTTCAAAACTATTAATAAAAACAGGTCAATCATGTGGATTGCCATTAAAAATAGGAAGATCTCCAGGATCTCTTCTTATATATAATATACCTGAACTTTTATCGTTATAAGTTGGCAGAGGCTTACCAAGTGTTGGAGTTAAAGAGGCAACATTGTCGATAAAGGGCTTATCTATATTTAAAGAAAGGAATTTATTGACCAAAGGGTTAGTTTCAATTATTTCCTCTTCATCGCTGTCCTGACTATCATTCGAGCACTCATCTTCTTCTATGATTCTCCTAGACTCCTTGGTTAACTCTCTTTCTTGACGTAATAGATCTCGTTCTTCCTGCATAAGTTGAAGCTTCATTTTTGTTTTGCTGCTTGTTGATGAGGAATTTTTTAAGGAGTTTACAATATTTCTTGATTTTGGAACCTTGTCGGTGAGACTTCTTAGTGGCTGCGTCTACACAAAGAGAGCACTTCCAGCTGTCATCACCAATTACTTCGGAATCATCCTGTACATTTACGCATTCAAAACAGCACCATTTTTTACATTCTGTACATTCTACCATCCGTTCTTCACGATGTGGTTTGTAGCACACAGGACATAGATCAATTTTGGTTCGTCCAGCAACTGATGGACCCATATTCTTAGATCTTGTAAGATTGTGTGATTTAACAATCGCGTGTGGTGAATAGAATTTGAGCTTGTTGGGAATTTATCTTTATTGAACAGCCAGCAATTGACGGATTTGTAGTTTACTATTTTTATTTGCGTAAAAACAACTCAAATTCCTACAATATATAAAATAAACAATATAAAAAAACTAATTAATTCCCATTACTTACTGTTCTCTTGCCGTCTGCTAAATTATTAAATTATTTAAATTTTTCCCTAATCGGTGACAGTTTGTTTTCTGACGTTTTGATATTATATTTGACATAGTTTATGGAACAGTAGCAACGGGAAATTTTGGGTAACATGATAGAACTAAAAATTAACTAAATACATTTTATACAAATAATAAATATTCGTAACAATATACGGAATGTGGTTTGAAAATAAATATGCAGAAAATATAATAAGAAACATGGAAAGTTACGAAGTGGTCAGGCAATTTAATTACTTAGGCTCCGTTATTACTAACAGTGGAGGATGCGAAGACGAGATTCGTCGACGCATCACAATGGCCAGATCGGCAACAGCTAAACTCACAAACATTTGGAAGAACACTGATATCACAAAAAACACAAAATTACACCTTGTTCGAGCATTGATATTTCCTATCGCCAACTATACTTAAGAAATTTGGACAATAAAAAAGCTGATTCAAAGCGTATAATGGTAGTTGAAATGTGGGTCTACCGTAAAATGTTGCGTATACCAGGGACCGCCTATCGCACGTATAACTCAATTCGAGCACAACTTAACATAAACACTAGACTCATCACAACTATAAACCAAAATATACTGAGATATTTTGAACATATAACTAGAAGAAGAGAAGGCATGGAGCGAATGATAATTGAACGGTAACGTAACGGGTAAAATATCAAAAGGAATATCTCCAGTACGATGGTCGGACCAAATAAAGGAGATGACTGGTAACTCATCCTCCGAAACAAAACAACACACACAGGAAAGAGATAATTGGATAAAAGTAGTTAAAAAATTACATGACGCCACTACATCCTTACGAAGGAGAAAAGAGCATGTTTTTCATTATTTTAACACACATTTATTAGGTACTTTATAGATAAAATGTTTAATATTGAAATAATTTCGTTTTTATTGCTTGTAAATACGCTGGTTATATAGACACACATGCCTAATTATGTGATATTTAAACGCGACTTAAGCCTTGTTAATAAAAATATTATCGTTATCGAAATTGTAATAACAACAATATAAAAATTTTTTAATTTCAAAATGTTGACCCCTCTGTACCGCCTCTGTCGGGGATCTAACAAATCTGAAACAAATTTGTTGATGAAATATAGCTGTAGTTTCTTCGTATTTTAATCTGCAAACTTTATCTTAAATTAAAGCTTTGAGATAATTTCAAAGATGAAAAAATAAAACATAAAAATTAGTTTTTTTAATAGCTTACTGATCTAATTACTTTCTATCATCTGTCAGTTGTCAAAATCGAACGTCATTGTCAACAAAAACAAGACGGGAACGAGGCAAGACTTTCCATTTAATTTGTGACGTTTACTTGAAATGTAAAGAAATTTGGAGCTAATCCCGCCGTATTTATGTAGTTAACAAAAATTAACGAAAACATGTTTAGTGTTTTGTTAATCCTGTAGTTTATGTATAATCAAAAGGTACGTATTTTTTATAATTATACCAAAAAAATGGATGTTTCAAGGCGGGGTTACTAAAACGCAAAAATAGAAATAGATTTTTCTTTTTATGTGAGTCTTTTCTGTCATCTACTATATAGTTCGAAATAATAAGAGTTCTATAAATAACGCTGCGCTGCTGGAAGTAGAACTGCATAGTTATTATGTTTAGCAGGAAGAATACACAAATATTTTAATGATGTGCTAGATGCTTAGGATTCCACATTATTCCTACGCTATACATCTTTGTTGTTAAAACAGTGACCACTCTTAATAACATTTTAAAGTGTAAAATTAAAAAAACTGGTTGTTTAGTGATGGTTTTTTATGGGTAACAGGTACATACATAATTGAAAGTGGTTTCTCTTCTGTTTTCTATTGTTCACACACATTTGCACTGTAATTCTATTGAATTTGTTGACAGACTCAATAATTATCAGTGTTAAATCAATTTTTTCAATAAATTGGCATAAATTACATGTATTGTTTGTACATCAGGTGAACAGTTTACTATTCCATTTTAGTTTACTATTTGGTCTTTTTCCATAAGTGTTCTTTCTGTAGTGTGGTGTAGTGGAGTGTTGGTGTACAACTTCTTCAGAAATATACATTAGTTGTTAATTTACTATTTTTTGTCTTCTTTGCAACTGCATTTAAATATATATATATATATATATATATATATATATATATTATATATATATATTTAATAAGTTTATTACTATATTTTATAGTATAGAATTACTGCATAATTAGATAAAAACCAAATCGTAAATTTTTTACCTATAAAAAGTCATACTAATTTAACTAACTAATTTAAGTAAAACTATTAAAAAAAAGAGTTTGTTATTATATTTAGTTTAACATCTTCCCTATTGCCTAAAAAATCTAGTTGCTTTCATGAGCACTTAAATAAAGTAAAAACACTATTCATAATTCATAGACAAGAATGTTGTATGCATATATAGTCCAAAGGATACAGTTGTATTGAAATCATTGAAAAAACTATGGTCTCTAAACATACATAAAAACGATGTGAAGGAATACCTACAATAACAATAATTATTGAGATTTGTATTATCTTAACCAGTTATTACCAGATTTATTAATTTTACAGTATGTAATAGACAAGTTACACATTTAGTACTACTGCACTCAATCTATTTATCTGTAAAAATAGTATCACTTTTCAATGAGTTGATTTGGATATCTTTAAGGGCTTTCTTTACAAGGTAACTCAGACTGGATCTGTTTAGAGTGACAAACTAGGAGTGAATTATTCCAGGTTAAACTATGATTTGTTAAAAATAATTAGTTTATGTTTGGTACCCAAGTATTAAAATTTTGTGACATTGAACAATGGACTGATGGAATATGAACTAAGTATTAATGTTGTTCACATAACAATACATTAAAATTTAAATAATCTGCCAAAAGCACACTATTGTTTAGGAATAATAAATATTGATTGAAGGAAAATACAAAAATTCATTTATAAGTGATGAATTCAACTGTTAATTGATGGAAATTAATGTTAGTAAATGTTAGTATTTAGTTGAGCCACCTTTAGACGCTATCAAAGCTTTAATTCTGAATCAATGCAAGACTGCATTGATAGCATGCCATGCAGAACTTGTTGTACTGTCTCCTGCATTTAAGAATGATGATTCCATACATAAATAATCTTTTCTAGGATCTGGGTTTTGTCAGTAATCACATCTTTAGCTACTTCTCTTTTTATCAGCTCCCACACATTTTCAATTGCATTCATATCAGGACTATCAACTGCTACATGGGAGATTATTTATATTGAAGTTTTTTCACAATTGTGTCACATTTTAGACTATTATCGTTATTATTTAATTAAAACTTTCTCATCTAAGACTCATTCTGAAAAATATTTTATAGCTTCTTTAAACTTGGCACCCTTGCATTCCCGAATATGTCCTCCATATTAAGAGGCCATTTTTATGGTCTCCTTTTCATAACAATTAGATTCCCTTTTTTGTCTTTTTGCTTGATGAACAGGGAGCTCCATCTTGCACGAAAGTGAATGGTTCCTCATTTGGAAATCATTCTCTGAGCTGCAGAATTAACTGATTTTGTAATACTTCTTTGTACTGTTCTTGCCTCATTATTCCTTTGACAAAGTACAAACATCCAGTGCCCTTCCTGTCGATGACTGACCAAATCATACCTTTGATGAGATGTTTAACCTTCAGGATGACACAATCAGAATGAAACTTTTCTCCATGATGACTCAGGACATACTAAGCTTTATTCTGCAAAATTTCGAATGTGCTTTCGTCACTGAAGCAGACCTGTCAAAAATAGGAAAAATATATAAACTTCCATGTTTGTTTGTTTTATTTAACTGAAAATGATAATAATGTATCAATTTTTGATTAAATTGCTGTATCTTACCAATTTCCAGAAGTCTATATCGTTGTCTTGCCATTGTTTGGCCCACTTCGGGTGCTTTTCTCTAATTGCAGCTGTTAACTTGAGATTTCTGGATGTGTGATACGCTTTCAAATTTAATTCTTTAAATTTTCTTCAAACAGTGTCAGAAATATTTAAGCTAGCATCCTGGAGTTGTGATTTTGTTACCTTTGTGGTAGCAAATCTAGACAGTTTTTTTTTTGTTCAAATGTCTCTGACTGTGGAGTGATCTTTTCTTTCGCATCTTTTCTTTCTTTTCAGGCTTAATTTCTCCCCTGACTCATTTTTTTTATGCGTTGTACAGTAGCTTTAGAAAGCTCCAATCTTCATGATATTTCTCAGTTGGTAAATGTTTTCGCAATCACAAGGGCTTTCACTTCAACTTTTTTCGTGGTGAAAGATTGTCTGTTCTACCCATAATGAAAATAGTTGAATTTCTTTTTAATTCACTGTATACAAAATAAACACGTCTATACCTGAGTAGATTCTGATCGCGACTGATACAGGTCTGTACTTGTTTACATTCATAGTATCACTCTATCAACACAGTGTTACCATATGTTAAAAATAAATACAAATATGTAGTCTACAAGAATTCTTTTAAATAAAAATCGATAATATTGGTAGTTTAAATATACCATTATTGTACTGTAATTGTATTGTATTGTAATATACATGTACAGGGACTGTACATGTTTGTTAAAAGTTCTACTAGTTTAACTGAAGTAAGCATTTGGGCAGTCGACACATTTAATTTTGTATACCCCACTGTTTAAGTGCTTTTTCTTTTGGTTATTGTTGTTCTTAATATATTTGCATAAGTTGTTTGTTCTGAAAGCTGGTGTTATTCCTTTCTGTTTTTATGTGTTTGTATATTTTTGTTGATATCTTGCCTGTATATATAATTGAGCAGAAGGTACCTACTGGGTTTGTTTTCTGGTGGTGGAAATACTAATTTCAGGGCTTTCTTATGTCATTTTTTTAAATCCCTATTTAAATCATGTTTGTTGTACCCATTACTTACTGGTATTTGCTTAATGATATTCAATTATATATGGAAGTTGTTTTTTCACATGGGAATTTCTATTAATGCAGCTATGGTAGGCTGCCAATTTATGTTGTGTAAGATGGAATGATAAATTGTGTATAGTTATGTATGTATGAGTAGGTTTATGAAATACAGAGAACTCATGTTTGTTAAGTCTGATAATTTTTAAATATAGAAAATTTACAGGTGATTCTGTTCTATTTCTATTGTAAAATCAGTATGATCTGTTTGGGTTATCAAGCATACAAAGCCCTTAGAAAGATACCCAAATTAACTCATAGAAGAGTAATAGTAATGTTATAGATAGGTAGGTTTGGTACAGTGGTACTAAATGTGTAATTTATTGTCTATTGTATACTGTAATAGACATTAAGTATTCAGATAATAATTGGTTAAGATAACACAACTCTCAATAATTGTTGTTATTGTAATTATTCTTTTACACCATTTTTATGTCTGTTTAGAAACCATAGATTCTTTATAATCAATTCTGCTTGTTCATTGACAGAATAAATATTTCTATGGAGGGTTGTCACTACATCTTTTGCGCGGTCGTCCGATAATTCTTCTGTCGTTTGGTATCTATTTCTTGCTATTCTTACCATTCTTTTTTTTCTATTGTGTGTCCATTCATTTATACACTGTACATAACATTTTCTTTTAATATCTTCACTTCTCTTTCGATCTCTCAACATATTGCCTGTAATTCTTCTCAGTACTCTCATCTCTGCTGTTTCCAGTTGCCTTTGCGTTGTGACTGTGTTGGATCTACAGCCAGGTTAACACCCTACTGATAGACTTTAAAAGCACACAGCTCATAAAAACAGGTAAATGAATCTAGGTTCGTGAAATAATTGAAATCAGGGAGGTGTTTTCAATAAAGGTATCTATATAATGTTTCAAATTTTGCACAAAAAATTGGGTGCAGAAATCGTGACAAACTGGTTGTCGCTCTCAGTAGAGAATAAACACAGTTGTATAGTCGATTCTGAAGCTGTGGACTAGTCATGGATATACTATCCGTAGTACTTCCACGTGAAAAGAACGGTAAGAACTGTGTATTTGAAAGTGAAGAGATGAAATCGGCTGGCAGCTTGATAGCTAAAGTATTTTGTAATTCACGCGGAATTATTTACAATAATTAAGTATTTGGAAAAAGTAAAAGCAATGACTGAAGTTTATTGTACGTCGTTATTAGGACTGATAAGTGAAGACATTAAGAATAAAGTCTTTACTGAGAAGTAAAAGTAACGTTTGTGTAACCATCTGACTATGATACAGTGTTAGGTCTTTTAGGTCTCGTAAGCACCGCTAACATGACTTAACGACTACTTATGTAGCTGGGACCGACGGCTTTACGTGGTTTCCGCAGTACGGTGACAAACAAAGGAAATACAATATAAATATTTTTTCATCAAGTCAATGCACGCGTTTACAACTGCCAGTTGGATTGGATTGGATTGAGGAATGGAAATTTGAATAATTACTCTAC